CTAAGTTCATTACTCTTCCCATTAGGCCATGGTGCTTCACTAGACTCTTATACGGTAAGGGGGGGGGCATGGTTATGGACAATTCATCTTAGAAAGTATTTAAAAAGCACACTGAGTCAAGATGAAGTTGTTAGACCCATGCTCTGATTCAGTTAGCCCTAGAAAGACAGGGGCAGATAGATATCTGATACCACTGTGTTCTTAGCCAGAATTCCTTTGCTACGAACTTTTGAAATAAATTCTTTTGAAAAGAAAATACTATGCTGAAATGGAAATGCAGATTCTCATCTTGGATGTGCCACTGACTTGCTGTGGACTTTTGACATCTCACTTCCCCTCACTATTCTTCATTTTCCTCTTAAATTATGAGATTGATGGTCATCTCTAAGGGAATTGAATGTAGAGCTACAGGACTTGTAAGTTGAATTCCCAGCCCTCTCATTTACTGCCTGTGTGACCTTTGGAAAGTCGTATAGTGGATCTCCTTCTTCTCATCCAAGAAACAAGGGGGGCTAGTCTTCTGAGATCCTGTTCAGGTCTAGTACTGTGATCTTATTCTTTTATGATTCCATGCATTCTGTTCCCTAAAACAGAAGCATGACATTGTTCCTGCCACTAGAGGGTGCAAGAAAGACTCTCTATGAGCTGTTCTCTATACATGGTGCTGAAAAGGAGTGCTTTCTTTGCTACTAGGGCCAGAGCTTTGAGCTGTTGGAGGAGGGAGAAATGCTTCCTTTAAATTGTGGCTACAGTGTCAGGTTGGGAAAAACTTTTATCCTCAAAGATCACACTGGAGGCATAGGAAGATAGGATTTTAGAGTTGAAAGTACCCTCAGGAAACTCCTAATCAATTCCTTCCTACCATTTTACAAAGGAGAAAACTGAGGTTCAAAAATGGGGTCTCAGGATCCCAGGATAACTGATTTAGAATTGGAAGAAAGGAAACTTTTAGATGTTTTAGCCCACTCTCTCATTTTTAAGGAAGAAGAAACTGGAGGGATGGGAGAAATTTGCTTAAAGTCCATGGCTAATATGCTCTAGGATCATAGAATTATATAGAGCTAGAGCTAGAAGGAACCCATAGAGGTTATCGATTCTGACACTCTCATTTTACAAATGAGGAGGCTGAGGCCCAGAGTAAATGAGTGTCCAGAATTGTGGGTAGTGAGTGGAAGAACCAGGCTAGCAATGAGCTGGGAGAAATCACAACAAAACCAGAAGAGATAAGAAGGATAATCAAAACTTTTATGTATAGTTATATGCTAACAAAACAGAGAACACAAGAAACATAAAATAGCCAAACTGACAGAAGATCAAATAGAGATCTTAACTAACTCAATCTCAGAAAAGTGAGTAGAATTAACTGTAAAGGAATTTCCAAAATGAAAAAAAAACCACTCCTGATTCTGAGTTCACAGGAGAATTCTATCAATTAAAGAACAGTTACTCTCAAAAAATTAAGAAAGGAAGGACTCTACAAGAATGAGACAGATGTAGCCCTAATAACTGAATCAGAGAAGAATAAAGCACAGAAGTCAAAGGATAGATCGATATCATTAATGAATATTAATTTAAAACTTTTAAAGTAGCTCCTATCAAGTGAACTACAGTGATTTATCCAAGAAATCAATTATTATGACCAACTTGGATTGATATCAGGGATGCAAGAATGGCTTAGCATTAGGAAAATAATCAATATAATTAATCTTATTAAAAACCAAAACATCAAAAATCACATGATTATCTCATTAGATAAAAAGCCAGAAAAAGCATTTGACAAAGTATGAAACTCATTTGTGCTTTTTTAAAAAATCCCTTACAGAGTATAGACATAGAAGGATTTTTTTAATATCATGAAAGGCATCTATTTAAAACCAAAAGCAAGCATGACACAAATACACTAGAACAATCTCCACTGCATACGGTTATGAAAGAAGAATACTCAATCTCTCTACTACTATTTGATATAGTTCTGGAAAATGCAAGAAACAACAATAAAACAAGAGAAAGAAATTGAAGATATAAATATAGGTAAAAAGGAGACAAATCTATCCCTGTTTTAAAGATGATGTCGTGATACACTTGAAAAGTCCTAGAGAATCAGCAAATATGCTAATCAAGACAATTAATAAATCAGCAAAGTTTCAGGCTACAAAATAAACCCTCAAAAATTAACTGAGTTTCTATACATTGATTTTTAAAATCCAAGAAACAATAATAAAAAGGGAAATTCCATTCCAAATAACTACAAAATGCATAAAATGTCTAGGAATCAATTCTCAAAGCACACAAAAAGACTTGTATAGATTCAATTGCAAGGTGCTCTTTAAATAAATAAGGAACAATTTTAATAGCTGCAGGAATATTCATTGTTCATGGCTAGGCTTTGTCAATATAATAAAAACGACAATGCTACCAAAGTTAATTTGCTCTCTTAATGCCATACCAACGATATTACCAATGGGATACTTTATAGATCTTGATAAAATAATTACAAAATTAATTTGGAAAAACAAAAGAACTAGACCATAAGGGGAAATTATTAAAAGACATAGAGATAAAAGGGGAATGGCACTTCCAGACCTCAAACTATAAAAAAAAAAAACCAGAGAGGTAATGATAATAACATTGATCTACCACAATTTCAAAGGACTTATGATAAAAAAAAAATGCTATCCAACTCTAGATATAGAGAACTGATAGACTCAGAGTGCATATTGAAGCATTTTTTAAAAACATACTTAATGAGGAAACATATTTTGCATGATTTTGTATGTGTAATGGATATTATAATTCTTGCCTTCTCAAAAACTGGAGAAGAAGTGAAGGGAAAGAGAAAATTTGAAACTGAAGACAAAATTAAATTGAATTTTAAAATACACAAGTAGATCAATGAATAGACTGGAATGTGATAATTCACTGTTTGATAAAGCAGAAAACAAATTACCTAAGAAAGAACTCCCTATTTGATAAAAACTGCTGGGAGAAGTAGTAGGCAGTCTGAAAGAAATTAGGCTTAGATCAACACCTCTTACCATATTTACAAAACATCCTAAATGGAAATGATGCCTTAATGTTAAAGATTATATTATAAAAAAATAGAAGATAAAGAGATCATATGCTTCTCATAGCTATGGCTAAGAGGTGTATTCTTAACCAAACGAGATAGAGGAAATTACAAAAGATAAAATAGATAACTTTGATTACATGAAACTAAAAAGCTTTTGCTCAGACAACCTTAATGCAACTAAGAGAGGAAGGGAATTAATTTCAGGGGAAAACAATCTTTGTATCAAATTTCTCTATTAGGTGTTTGGTATTCAAGATATATGAACAATTAGTAAATATATACATGTATGTATGCATGTATAAGTGTGTGTATTACTAACAGCCATTTCCCAATACATAAGTGGTCAAAAGATTGGACAATTCTCAAAAGAAGAATTACAAAGTATTCGCAACTGCACAAAAGACTGCTCCAAATCACTAATATTAAGAGAAGTGCAAATCAAAATAACCCATCAGTTAGGGAATGGCTAAACAAGCTGTGGTATATTATTGTACTGTAAGAAATGACAAGCAGGATGATTTCAGAAAATCCTGGAAAAAACTTACATGAACAGATGCAAAATGAAGTGAACAGAGCCAGGAAAATGTTATACAGAGTAATAACAATATTGTTCAATGAAGAACTGTGAATGACTTAGCTATTCTCAGCAACATAATGATCCAAGAAAATCCCAAAGGACTAATGAAGCATACTACCCACCTCCAAAGAAAGAACTGATATTGTTTGAACTTTCTTCTACCTACACTTCCTCACATCCTATTAATTTCTCAGCCCTGAACTATTGCAATAGCTGCTAGTGGGTCTGCCTGCCTCAAATTTCTCCCTACTGCAGTCCATCCTCCATTCAGCCATGAAAGTGATCATCTTAAAGAGCCAGTCCAACCGTATCATCCCCTTACTCAACTGACTCCAGCAGCTTCCTCTTACCTTCAAGATCATAAAATCTGTCATCCAAAGCCCTTCATGACCTAGACCCTCCTCTACCTTTCCAGTCTTCTTACACCATGCACTCCCCCATGTGCTCTTTAATCCAGTAACATTGAATTGTCAGGGGACAGTCTCCAGCTCCTGGCTCCCAGCTTCCCTGACTTCTTTCAAGCTCCAGCTAAAATTCTACCTTCCACAGGAAGACTTTTCCAATTCCTCTTAATTTTAGTGCTTTCCCTTTGTTGGTTATTTCCAACTTATCTTGTATATAGCTTGTTTGTATCTGTTACATCTTCCATTAGGCCATGAACTCCTCAGGATCCAAGACTGTCTTTGACCTTTTGTTGAATCCCATAGCACTTAGCATAGCATCTAGCACATAGTAGGTAGTTCATGAATGCTTACTGACTGACTGATTTTACGTTCTAAATCCATGCTACTCCTGAAAGCCTTGTAAGAGATATTTCTACATGTTCATTATACAGATGAGGAGACAGGTTCAGTGACCAATTTTCCAGAAATCATAGAGCTGAGTCAAGTCACTTAGGGCTGAGGCCAAGATTGGAAACTAGATTTTGTCATGCCAGACCTGACATTGTGTCAAGTGCACCACATTAACTCTAGTAAGATATAGATGCTATCTCCATTTTACAGTGCAGAGAGTTCAAATGACTCATTCTTGGTTACACAATACACACATAACAATGCCCTAACTCCAAAATTAGTGCTCTTTCCACCACTTCACACTGCCTACCAATCTGACCATTCTCTTATTTTTCTTCCTACCACGGACCCTTGTGGTTTCACAGTTGTGGTGGAGAAGTAAACCCACTGACTCAGGGATAAAGGATGGGGAACAGCCAGAACACCCTCTCTCTGGGCCCATCCTGCCCTGATTTATGTAGGGTTTCTACAGGAACAATGGGGAGGAAGTAAGGGAGCCAGATGTCCAGATCTGTCACTTCCTCTTCCATCGCTCTGATGAGGGCAAAGGTACTGCTCTCCCTCCCGAGACCCAGAGTCAAGAAGTAACTCCCACTGACCAGGCTGCTCCTAGGGAGAAGACAAGATAGACAGAGGGAGAATCTCAGAAAACACGACCCAGAGAAACATGGTACCTCAGACTGAAAAGGGTGAGGCATTGGGGATCCCTGGGATGGGTGGAGAAGAGGACAAGTCTCTGGAAAACCAGAACCAGAGACCTAGATCTGGAAGGTATCTTAGAGGTCACCAAGTCCAGCCCCCTCATTTTGTAGGTGAGGAAATTAAAGTCCAGAGAATGTCTTGCTCAGGGTTATACAATAAGTCAGTGGGTGAAATTCAAACCCAGGTTGTCCTAACTCTAAATCCAGCCCTTTATTCATTAGACCAAGCAGCCTCAAGGCTGATTCACTTGAGCCCCATCCTGACAACTGTCTGTTTTGAGGGTGGATGAAGTTTTCTTAAGGAGTCAGAAGGGTGAGGGAATAGAAGAGAGAGCAGCCTGAGGCTTGGCAATCTCTTACGAAAAGGAATTTGTTCACAAAATATTCCCCTGCTCCCCTCACTCCACCCCAAGTAGACCTTGTGTCTTGTACTAAGGTTTGGGACAATGAAACAGTGAGCTGTAGTCTACATCCTCAAGCAGCTTACATTCTAGTAGAGCAGACAAGGCAGGTGCCTATAGCCAGAGAGGCATTGGGGTGTAAGATGGGCTTAAAGTAATTTACCTGGTGTTGGATCCTGGCTCTACTACTCCCAAGCTGTGTAGTCTTCTTTGAGCCTCAGTTTTTCTTTATCTATAAAACAGGGAAGGGATGAGTGGGTAATGGATCAGAGAGTCTCTAAGGTCCTTTCTTACTACAACATCCTGTTTCTGAGACTAGAAGTTTTCTGGGATCCCTTCCATCTATAATGTGAATAAGGTGTACTTGGCCCTTGTCAGACTGCATTGGGAGTCATATGTCAGATCCTGGGCTCCACAGTTTAAGAAGAAGATGGACAAGTGGGAGATTATTCCAAGGAGGGCAACCAGGAAGCTGAAGGGCCTTGAGTCTGTTTCATATGAAGATTAGAGAATTTTAATGGGAGAAGACTGGGGGATGGGGGGGATTCCAGCCATGTTCAAGTCTTTAAAGGCCTAATGTGTTCCAAGGGATAGAGCCAGGAGAAATGGACCAGTTTAGGTTTAATGTTGGGGAAAGCTTTCTAGTGATGAGAGTTGTCCCAGAGTGTTCAGCCTGGAGAGATGGTGTGTCCTCTATCCACAGCATTTTTCAGGCTGAGGATGAAAGACCAATCATCATGCGCGTTTTAATGGTGATGCCCTCTGGCTATGGGCTGAACTAGATGGATAAAGGTCCCTTTCAACACTGAAATTCTGTGATTCTATGACTCTTTGACTAGATTACTCCACCAATGGGTGATGCCTATCTTGTGCCAGGCCCTGTGTTAGACCAGGACAGTTGAGGAAAATAAAACAGTCCCTGAGATCAAGAACCTTGTATGGCATAAGTGGAGATCTAGATAAGTAGAATTCATGTGGATTCAGGGGTCCAGATTTCTGGACTGAATCTTAATCAGCTTGGGAGAAATGAAGTGCTCTGAGCCACTACATGTGATTAGGTGGTGCTAAAAGGGAATTATACTTGGATTACTTGAAAGAATTATACACACGTCTGGGCCTAAGTATATTAGATAAAGGAGTCCCACAGGGAGGAAGCCAAGCTTCTCCTTTCTTGAAGGGGAAGAACCCTTGTGCCTCAGTGTGAGCTAATGGGCATCAAGGGAGTCAGGGCAGGGGAAGTGATCCCAAAGGTAATATCACACTCCCTGCCCCCAACTTTTACATTGATTATTCATCATAGAGACCATTCCAGACTTGAGAAAGGACAAAGTAGATATATCAAGGAAAGGCAGCTTCAGGAAGCAAGAAGAGGGAAGTATAGTTCAGGACCATGCAAAGGCACAGCCTAATAGAGCTCCATCTCAGAGGAATTCATGAGGATGCTATGAGCACAAAAGGGCCCCCAATAATGAAGAGTTATGAGTTACCCTTTAGGCATCTATATTTGAGCTAACTAACCCAGGAAAATTGTATGTGGGTGAGAGTAGGTCTTTGATTGGGAAAATGTTTTTGCACCAACTGAGCCTACTAGGACACTTTAGTAATACCCTTTTCTTTTTTTTAGACTTTTAAAATTTTTTTACATTATTTTTAGTTTTCAACATTCACTTCCATAAGCTTTTTAGTTTTTAATTTTCTCCCCCTCCCTCTCCACCTCCTTCTCCCAGACAGCATGCAATCTGATATAGGTTCTACATATATATTCCTACTAAATATATTTTCACAATAGTCATGTTGTAAAGAAGAATTAGAACCAATAGGAGGAACCACAAGAAAGGATAAACAAAACAGAAGGGAAAAAAGAGCAAAGAGTATGCTTCGATCTGCATTCAAACTCCACAGTTCCTTCTCTGGATGTGGATAGCATTTTCCATCATGAGACTTTTGGAGATGTCTTAGATCCTTGTATTGCTGGGAAGGGTTAAGTTTATCAATATCAGTCATTGCACAACATGGCTGTTATTGTGTACAAAGTCCTCTTGGTTCTGCTCACTTCACTCAGCATCAGACCATACAAGTCTTTCCAGGTTTTTCTGAAGTCTCTTTGCTCATCGTTTCTTATAGCACAATAATATTCAATTACATTCATATACCACAACTTATTCATCCATTCCCCAATTGATGGGCATCCTGTCAATTTCCAATTCCTTGCCACCACAAAAAGAGCTGTCATAAATATTTTTGTACATGTGAGTCCTTTCCCCATTTTGGGATATCTTTAGGATACAGCCCTAGAAGTGGTATTGCTGGGTTAAAGGGTATGCACATTTTTATAGCCCTTTGGGCATAGTTCCAAATTGTTCTCCAAAATGGTTGGATCAGTTCACAACTCTACCAACAATGTATTAATGTTCCAATTTTCTCCCATCTTCTCCAACATTTATAATTTTCCTGTTTTGTCTTGTTAGCCAACCTGAGAGGTGTGATTTAATGCCTCAAAGTTGTTTTGATTTGCATTTCTTTAATCAATAGTGATTTAGAGCATTTTTTCATATGACTATAGATAGCTTTAATTTCTTCATCTGAAAACTGCCTGTTCATATCCTCTGACCATTTATCAATTGGGGAATGACTTGTATTCTTATAAATTTGACTTAGTTCTTTATGTATTTTAGAAATGAGGTCCTTATCAGAGATACTGGTTGTAAAAATTCTTTCCCAGTTTTCTGCTTCTTTCCTAATCTTGGTTGCATTGGCTTTGTTTGTACAAAATTTTTTCAATTTACTGTAATCAAAATTATCCATTTTGCATTTCATAATGTTCTCTATCTCTTCTTGTCATAAATTCTTCTGTTCTCAATAATACCCTTCTCTAAAAGCTAATTAAATGTCACTGGCTGGTAACCAATGGAGAGCACACTGGTTGGAGGCTTGTGAGCAAAAGTGCTAGGGAAAAACCCAACCTCTCATAAGAATCACCAAGAGAAGTAATGTCAAACTCAAGGACCACCAAACCATACCTAGGGATCCCCAAAGGCCACATTATTGCCTTAGAAAACCACGTATTAACATTATCTGTGTTCTATTTTATTTTTATTTATTTTGTTAAATATTTCCCAATTACATTTTAATCTGATTTGGCCCCACTTGGGAGTGTATTGTGGGCCCCTTGGGGATGTGTTTGTCCCTCTGACCTAGATCATCGAAAGATTAAATGATTTGCCCAAGGTCACAAAGGCAACATTCGTCAGAGGTAGGCCTTGAATCCAAGTTTTTGTAGTTTCAAGGCTTGGTTGGTTAGTTGTTGTCCTTCATTCTTGAAGAGGACCAAGATGACATCGATGTGTTAAAGTCACATTACAATGCGCCCAGCTGTGGCTGATCAGACCAGCATGGGCTCAGAATGCTCTGCCACAAATAGTCTGTGTGAACATGTGGAGTGAGTTCCTTAAATTTGTGCATCTCATGTTTCTTTTGAGCTATTTCAATTCTGCTTTGCTTGTAGAGCACAGTCCCTCCTCTGATGCGGGCACACCATGCTGGACAGTCCTGTGCCAGTGTCTTCCAAGCATGCAATCAATTCTCAAATTCTCGAAAGAGACCTTGAGAGGGTCCTCATATTGCTTCATCAGACCACCACATGAGCACTTTCCCTGTGTGAGTTCTCCATAAAAGAGTCTTTCAGGCAAAATTTGAATTGTATTAGGAAGATTCTGACGATCACCTGGCTGGATAAGCTACCAGACACTGAGGTCCTTTCTTGAACCAAATTGCCAAGCATTCAAACTCTACTATGGAGAGGACAACTCTGATGGGCTGGCCATGTTGTTTGAATGCCAAATGTACCCTTGGCAAAAAAAAAAAAAAAGACTTTTTTTATGGAGAACTCACATAAGGCAAGTGCTCACATGGTGGTCAGAAGAAGGGATAGAAGGACACTCTCAAGGTCTCTCTTAGTTTCAAGGCTAGCATTCTAATCAGTGTACCATTCTGACCCTTTACATAGGAAGTGAGAAAGAAAGCCACTAAATATATGACCACATACCCACTACTGTAGCCCAGCCCTAACTGCACTGAGACTTTTGCTTTTGTTCTGTATCAGAGGTTCATCTGTAGGAGAGGAAGCAGGCTGGATTGGAAAGATCCCTAGTATTGGAAGCCAAAAGCCTGGGATGGGGGGTGGGGGGCAGGGAGTCCTGGTTCTAATATTTCCAAGCTGTGTCACTGAAGTCAAGGCACAATCTCTATCCCTGCCCTGAATGCTTGTGCTGCCCTCTCCAAAGTGAGGTATCAGTCAGCCTGTGCCTGGCTGGCCTCTCTTGTTCATCTCTCTGTGATGTTACAATCCTTTGCCCACAAGGTTCCTGTATTTCTATTTCAAAGAGTTCCTCCATGTGGGTCAGGAGCAAGCCCATAATAGCACTTCTCCTTGTCACTTCCTCCAACTTTTGGAAGCATGAAGTGATCATTTAGGGAAGTCATACGTTTGTTTATCAACTGCTCTGCTTTTGGCAGAGACAGAGCTCCAGAGTGCATTAGGATGCTCAAAGTCCCAGCCACCACAATATCATGCTTTAGTGCCGGATT